TAAATAAATAAACTTAAAAAAAAAAAAAGAAGAGTTTGACACTTAACTGAACCATCCAGGCAACCTGCCAAGTTCTTTATATACATGATCTAACTTAGTTCTTACTATGGTCCTGCAAGGTGGATACAATCTTGACTGAACAGAAGAGGAAACTGAGGCACAGAGAGGAGGCAGATGCAGACAAGTGGCAGAGCTAAGGTTTGAACTTACTCATCCCATGTCTTCTATGGGACACCTCAGTTGCCTCCCAAGCATCCCTGTCCCCATGCTGGCCTGAGAAGCCTGGCCACTGAAGCAGGACTGTTGGACGTATGGGCCGTGGCTTTCTCTTACTGTGCTGACAAGATGTGGCACAGCCGTGGTCCTGGTAGAGGACACCTAGATGCCTTAGGGCCTCCCCACAGCCCTCAGCCAGTGCTCTGGCCTGGGGGTTGTTAGGTGAGCACACACTCTGTGGGAGGGTGAAGTTCACTCTCGGGCCAATATCCTAACAAGAAGTGGGGCCAGAAGCAATCCATTCTCTGTTTCTAAATCAAATAAATCTTGCTTGACCCTTTCCTCTCTTGTCAGCAAGGGCAAGACATTCAGCCTGGTTTATGTTTGGGGGCAACCCTCCCTCCACCTTGGGTTGTGTGAGAAGCCCATGGGATTCTCAAGGTCCAGAATGGGGAGGCCTGCCTGGGGGACTGCTTCTGGCTGTTGTGGTCCCATTGTGCCTCTGGGGGGGTTGGTTCCTCCTGGGCCTTTTTGTGAGAGTTTGGGTGCCACAGAGCTTAGGGTTGAGCCCCCTGTTTCCACTTATATCTTCTTGGGTGGTCCCGCCTCTCCAGGGCTGCTGGAAGGGATAGGGGTCAGGTACTACCTTCTCTCCCCTCCTCCTCATGTTGGGGTATCTCTCCGGGCTGGGCCACCGACCTCTCCTCCTCCCCTTTGTGGACAGTACAGCCATCAGGCAACAAATTCTGCCTGGACCCGGAGGACAAAAATGCAGGGGGCATGAAGGGAAAGCACTTCTCTCATTGTTTTGTTACATGTAAGCCAATTGCCACTGATATTTATTTACCCCCTCCTGAACGTGAGGCCTGCGCATTATTTAATAATACCATTGGGGTCATTGCATTTTGCAAACAGGGAAACTGAGGTCCAGAGAGGTTAAGAAGTTTGTGTGGGATCACATAGCTGGTGAATCTAGCTCTGAGATTCAAACCCAGCCAGGCTGACTCCAGGACCCACACATGTAACTACTATATGGACTTTCTGTCTGCAAGTAACTCTTTAAGGTGACTCTGCGTGCCCCACTTCCCCTCCTGGACTGCTGGCCGTCTTCATTCTAAATATCTTGTCCTCTTAATGTCTCTTAACGTGGATGTGAGCTTACACCTAATAAAGATGCAAATGAGTGTCTTTGCAGGTTGGCAGAGAGTCCTGTAGGAGAGCACATGCTGGACTCTAGGGCTGTGGGGGAGGGCTGTGGGGGAGATGGCAAAAACAGGCATTTTCCTTCCTGCCCAGGTCCCATGCCTTTGCAGTGTGACTTTAAGCTCCTGCCATTGAGGTAGAGTCTGTTCTTTGCTTCCTTGAGTGTTGGCTGGCCTTGCGATCGGCCACAACGATAGAATGTTGTGGAAGGGGTGGTGTGCCAGTTTTGGCCGTGGCCACGTGTTTCTTCTGTTTCTCATAATGCTGCCACTGCCAGAGGGTAACACACGTGTACCCAATCCTTCCTATCACCCCAGCTGGAATACCAGCTACCCCCAGAAATGGAGCTTCCTGTTAGCCAGCCGCTGACTGCTGATGCTCTAGGAAACTGAGACCAGAAGAGCCAGTCCACGTTGCCAACTCCTAGAACCATGTGCCAAATTCAGGTTTGTTTTTTCAAGCCACTATTTTTTTTTAATATTTTTTTTTAGAGAGAGAGAGTGTGTGTATGTGTGCACATGAGCAGGGGAGGGGCAGAGGGAGAGGGAAAGACTGAATCCCAAGCAGGCTCTGCGCCATCAGCTCTGCACCTGATGCGGGCAGGGCTTGGTCTCATGAACCGTGAGATCATGAGCTGAGTCACAACAGAGAGTTAGACGTTCAAGGACTGAGCCACGCAGGCGTCCCCTAAGCCACTGACTTTTGAGGCAGTTGGTTTTGCAATAAAATCTACCCAATACACTCAGCTTCAGGTCGCATCTGTTCATCCCAGACTTGGGTGGTGTCAGTAGGGGCACCAGATAGGGCAGATGAATTGGAGCCACCTTTCTCCTTCTTCAGCGTTCCATGGCAACACCTTCCTGTGGGTTTGTGCCACAGGTGCCCAGCGCTGTGATTCTGTTTCTGAACACTCCAACAGAAGAAATGAACCTTCATCGAGAGATGGGGTCTGGCCCCAGCCCTGACACCAACCTGCTGTGTGGTTCTCCATGATTTCCTTAACCAATCTGGACTGACACACATACTTGACGATTTCTGCCGGCTCTGATATTTGTGACTCTGTGAGGCATCACTAGCATGATGTTTATATACTGTCCACATTTGATTTGGATGTTTTTTCCCAGACCAGTGGCATGGCACAAAATGATGAGTTTGTTTTTTTTTTTTTTTTAACCATCCACATAAAAAGAAACAGACGATAAACTGGCTTGTGCCACTGTAAGAACATTCCTTTACTGACAACGAAGCAAAAAATATCTGAACTATAAAAGTACATGTTTGGAAAGGAAACGTTCACGTTTCTTGAAAATAAGTTTGCATTATTAAAGCTGGGGGGTTTTACAGGCGTTTTGTTGAAACTTACAAAACCTCATCGCTTTTGGCTCTTCTCCTAAATCAGAATATAGTTTGGTTGGCATAGCTTCTATAAAATGTGTTCATTCCTTTATTCCTTCACTTATTCAGCCAGTGTTTGCTATGAGCCCCTCCCTGGCCTCCTAAGAGAATGGAACTGAAGGAGACAGGCAATTAACAACCCTCAAAGAGCTGACATTTGAGTGATAACAGCAAATCTACAGGTAAGCGTTAGAGTCATCTAGCGATTAGCGTTACAAAGAAAAAAAAAGTTTTTGTTAGAGGACAGATTAACACTGGATATGTTTTCCACAAACAGGATACACATTTACTACCTTCATATCTTCCCACCTTCCCCTGGAATTTCTCATTCATTCTTAAATGCTGTCGTTGAAACTGGGAGGGCGTATACATTCAGCGAGGCCCATCTCACAGGTGTCCCCGGTCAGGAAGGAGGAAAGCCCAAGGATGTGAGCCTTGGGAAGAAAATGACTCTTGATAGCCCAAATTTGGAGGATAGGCTGCAAAGGCTGAGTGTGAGCCTGGGGTACAAGGCACCACTGTGGTTTCCTCCAGCAGGCAACATTGTATCAAGGAACAAACTGCACTGGGATTTGAGGGCTTGGGCTCAGTTTGCATCTCAGGACTGGGTTTTGTGTGTGATTTTGAACATATCTCTCACCCTGTTTTTCAACCTGTGTGATAGGGATAATACCACTAGTACCTGCCTCTCCACGTTGTTGGAGGATCAGATGCAATAACATAAACAAGATTGTTTTGTTAAAGTTATCTTTCAGATGTACTACACATTCCCTAAGGGCAGGGGCTATGTCTCATTCATCTTATTTCCACAGAGCTTGGCATGTCAAGTGCTCAATAAATGATGGTTGAGTGGATGAATGGGCCAGAAAATAAATTAGCAAAAGAATGAAACTGAATCCTGTGGGCCTCAATTTCTTCGTTTTGCAAATTAGGTTTTCCCTATAGAGTTATCTAGGTTGTGCACTGCACCAGTGAATTTGGCTAAGGGGGTAGGAGGAGACTAAAATCTGGATTTTCCACCTGCCAAGTCATGTGCCTGGTGCAGAGGGTGCCTTTAATTAAAGGCCAGCAATGGGCCTGTCTAAAATGAAGGAGTTGGACTCTAGTGCCTCCCGGAAACTCTGATTTTTATCATTGTGTGAGGGGGCCCCAGATGCTGTGTTGTTCAGAAAATCCCCAGATAACTCAGATTTTCCTCCTAGTTTGGGTCCCATTGGATTGGTGGCCTTTTAAGTCACTTCCTACTCTAATAGAAGGTGATTTTTAATTATATTTTAGATTTCTTGAGTTTATCATTTTCTGGTATTTCATGTTAAATTCCGTTTGTTTATGAGTACACGAGCTGCCATCTCATGATGCCCTTACCCACCTTTCCTAGTTTTGGGTAGGACACAGCCGCTGGAGTCCGTGAAATGTGTGTTCCCCATTCATCAGTAAGGGATTCCATGCCAAGCTGAATCTTTCAAGTTTCCCTGGATTCCTCTTTGCAGCCTCCAGCATTTGTGTTTACATCAGGTCAGATAATAATAAAAAGCAGGATTCTTTAACGTTTATTTTATTTTTGGGACAGAGAGAGACAGAGCATGAACGGGGGAGGGGCAGAGAGAGAGGGAGACACAGAATCGGAAACAGGCTCCAGGCTCTGAGCCATCAGCCCAGAGCCCGACGCGGGGCTCGAACTCACGGCCCGCGAGATCGTGACCTGGCTGAAGTCGGACGCTTAACCGACTGCGCCACCCAGGCGCCCCAAAAGCAGGATTCTTTAGACAAGACAGAGCTGCGAAGACAAAAGCACGGTGATGAAAGCTACCAAGGTCTGATTTAATTTATCTGCCTTCATTTCTTTCTCACCTTCTTCGTCAGTCAGGGTGCGACGAGAAGAAAGAAACCACACAGTAATTTCAACAGGGAAAGCTCAGGGTTCTGCTTCACACTTGACATTTTGGGCTGCATAATTCTGAATTTGGGGGGACTTCCCTGTGCACTGTAGGGTGCTTAGCAGCATTGCTGGCCTCTACGCGTTAGATACCCACAGGGTTCTCTCTCCTCCCCACACTGTGACAACTGACAATGTGGCCAGATGTTGCCAATGTCCCTTTGGTCTGCGGAATGGCCCCTGCTTGGGAATCACTGCTGAAATCATTACTTACCTATATCAGATTGTCCAGAAAGGAGCAAACAGAACTCTACAGAAAAGCCTAGGGCTGAGGGAGAATATGAGGGGAGGGACATGCTGGGAAGGGGGACCCCTCCCCATGGGAAGGGGGACCCCTCCCCAAGCTGGGATTCAGACGTGTTGAAGAAGGTGCGGCTGCGGTCCACTCCGTAGGGGCGTTCTCTCAGGAGCTCTGGCCCGGGCTCTTGTACAGTTGCTAGACAAGCAGGAAGCAACTGGAGGGGAGGCAGAGTCCATCCAGCAGGAAACACCCATCTGGACACAAGTGGAGGGACTGCAGGGTTCCTGTGCCTCACTGGAAACCCATCCTGGGGGCGTCACTGAAGCTGAAATGAATGAGTGCCACTGACCACTCCCCTAACACACTGCTGGCCACAAACAGCCCTTGGTAGGAACCGGAGAAGCGCGGTGTAACAGCTTAGAACAAAAAGAGAAGCCCCTTCTTCTGGCAGTGTCTCTGAAGCGCCCTCTACTGATAGAATTGAGCATCACACCTTCTTCAAAAGCAATATTTTCATTCAACTGGCAGTGAAAGACGATTTGGATCTGAAAAAGGCAATAAATCCATAGCTGGCATATTCTTGTACCTTCCCTTTGACCGTCTCTATACCATCTACTTGGCATATGTCTAGAATTTAGTAGATACAAAATTAATGACTGAAAGAATGACTGATGAATGAATGGATGACAGGGTTGGCTTTTTTTTTTTTTTTTGTATCTGTTTTGGAGAATATAATTCTTTTCCTATGGAATAGCAAATGGTGGTGTTTACTCCTTCTAATCCCACTTTCCTACTAAATTTAAAATTAATTGAATTATCCTGTTATATCTTCTCAACTTACATAATGGATCAATTTGATAAAAATCAATTAAATGAGCAATTCAGTGGAAAAAAATTAATTAAACTAGTTTCAATTGATTCATTGATTAAATTTCCCAGTTGAGCCAAGAAAACACAAGACTGGTATCTGTTTTTAAGACCAGAATATTAACCAAAGACTTGCTGGCCAGTGAACTAAGTTCAACAAAATTGTTGCACAGAGGGTCACCTGGGTGGCTCTGTTGGTTGAGCGTCCGACTTTGGCTCAGGTCATGATCTCACAGTTCGTGAGTTCGAGCCCCACATTGGGCTCTGTACTGACAGCTAAGAGCCTGGAGTTTGCTTCAGATTCTGTGTCTCCCTCTCTCTCTGCTCCTCCCCTGCTTGTGCCTTCTCTCTCTCTCAAAAATGAATAAACATTTAAAAAATTGTTGCACAGAAGACTAATAATGTTAATAATATGAAAATTAGAATTAATTTTGACTTAGGTGACAAATGATTACTTGCTGGTTGCAATGTGGTAAGTTAGCAGTAACCAGGGGTTAATTGACACTGTCATTTAAAATGAAGAAGCAGCTGGGGCGCCTGGGTGGCTCAGTCGGTTAAGTGTCTGACTTCGGCTCAGGTTATGATCTTGGGGTTCGTGAATTTGAGCCCCGCGTCGGGCTCTGTGCTGACAGCTCAGCACCTGGAGCCTGCTTCTGATTCTGTCTGTCTGTCTGTCTGTCTCTCTCTCTGCCCTTCCTCCCCTGCTCATGCTCTCTCTCTCTCTCTCTCTCTCTCTCAAAAAATAAATAAACGTTAAAAAAAATTAAAAAGAAATTAAATGAAGAAGCAGAGGCACCTGGGTGGCTCAGTTGGTTAAGCGTAGACTTCAGTTCAGGTCATGATTTTGTGGTTCGTGGGTTTGAGCCCCGGGTTGAGCTCTCTGTTGTCATCGCAGAGCCCACTTCAGATCTTCTGTCTCCCTCTCTCTACCCTTCTCCTTCTCTCTCTCCTAACAATAAATAAACATTAAAAACATAAAATGAATAAGCATAGTGAAAAGATAATTGGATTGAGATTGAGTAAAAGTTTTGTGTGGGCTACCTTCTAATGTAGCAGGACTAATGTAATGTGCACAAGTCACTTGGCCTTTCGGGGCCTCCCTCTCTTCTGACACTCAAGAACAATCATATACTTCATTTTGGGGAGGAGCAAACATAATATGAATGTAAAAGTGTTTTGAAAATTGAAATTGCCAAACAGATTTCTCTTGTTAGCTCATAGTTGTTTTAATCTTCTTAGGTGTCCACAAGATTCTGAATGTATCTGAAGTGCTGAGAACATACTTCTCTTTTCTAATGTAAGGCAGAAGCCCAGTGGAAAAGGTTTTTAAATTTATGGCGATACACACGGCATCTCCCTCAAGTATCTCAGGGCCTTTGTACATGCAGTTCCCTCTGCCTGGAGTTCTTCCCTCTCTCGTGCCTCCATAACTCCTACTTGCCCTGTCAGCCCCTCATCACTTCCTGACCTCCTGAACTAGTCAGCTCTCTCATTTATATATTCATACATACCACATCTCTCCCATTTAGTATATAGCACCATGGGTATTGTATATTTTAATGTGATGGTTTGATTAATGTCTGTCTTCCCAGCTAGGCTGTAAACTCCATGATGGTGGGGCCACTTCTGCTTTTGCCCACAGTGACATTTTTAGTAGGTGCTTAATGACTGTTGGATGAATGAGTGAATGAATGAATGAACGAACAAATGAATGAACATATCCAGAGTTGACTACAGCCTGCTGGGTTTTGGGGCTGTAGAAAGAACACGGTGATAGGCATGGTTCACTAGAATGTCCTCAGCATCCAGAATAATCCTTGACATACAGTAGGAACTCAATAAATGAATGAGTTAACTTTAGATCCAGAAGTCTGGGGCTTGATTTTTCTCTTTGAAATTTATAGACTCAGCACATGTGGGGAGGATGTTTAACTCCACTATCCAGTACGGTGAAAACAGGCTCGGAGGCCAGCATTCCTGGGCCCAAATCCCATCTTCTAGATGTTTGACAAGACATTTAACATAACTATGTGCAAGTATGCTTCTGTACAAAAATGAGGGTAATATCAATACCCCAAGATTAGTTCAAGTATTAAATGAGAAAAACTATTGAAAAAGCCTTCTTAAAGACGGCACAT